TGGGAAATTGGAGGTAGCGGGAAACCGATGGAACACGCGCGAACGCGATTGAGATGATTAAATGTTGGAGGACAGGCTGAATATCGCCGGATTCGAGATGCGAAAATGATTAAACGCGGCATGTTATTAAAAGCCCGGGTATTTTTCGCAATTTCACTCGCGCATAATACGGAGCCCGCGAGACTAAAGCACGTTGATTATAAAATTCATATTAAACTCCACATTGACGGGGTCGGGTATTCAATTTCTGCGGGGGTCGGCCGAGTCGCGGCCGTTTTCCATGCCGGATCAAATTATGCGCGTGCAGTTTTTAACGGTGAACGCCCGGTAATTCGCCCCCCCCCCCTCCAACCCCGTTGAAATTTCGCGTATCGGTGTCTATAACAGTGGCGAAAGTAGCATAGCCCCGGGACGTCTTTCGGCCCCGGAAAAACACTACGGCGAGCCGAATTAATCCGTGCCGCGCAACCCGTGCGCAAACTTAGTTGGCCATGTTGCCCGTCAGCTCCGCCGAAAATTTCATCGGCCCCGTTGTTCAGTCGTCGAAACGAAACCGCTTTCCATTCCCATGACGAGTGCCACAAATATTCCTGCGACCTTCCGCCATCATTCCTAAGAGACAAGCAGCCAAAGCGTCGAGAAAAGCGACCCGGATATTTTTTTCGAACGATTACCAAATAATTCGGCGACATGTCAACGGCCACTTCTAGAACCCCATAAAGCTACAGTGAAAATATGAACGACGTCGGTTGAAAATTTTACAAGAAATTTTCAAGCTCTCCTTTAATGGTTCTATTTTTTATTTTAAAATTTACCTTCGAAGTTGTCAGGAAAAAAAGAAACGTAATAGAACTATGTAATTATGCACGTCGCACAAGATAAATGGATATTAATAGACAAAGTTCAGTCATAGCACAAGCAAGAGACTTCGTAGTCAAAAGGTTTCAGTTTTATTGAGTAGTCATAGGCGAGATTACAAATTTTATTTTTCGTGGCTAGTATTTTTGGTAAAAAAAAAATCTGGAAAAATTCGCGGATGTAAAAAACACCGGATGTGTATCCGGTTGGCTTCGTTGGGTCGGATTTCTTTCAGAATATTTCCACGTAACCAAATACAAACGTACATCGAAAACTCACCGTACGATTTTTCCAAGTAACTACAATCGAGGCAGATGATTGTTCTCATCACATCAGGAACTAACTAATCGGCGACTCACGAAAACATCACGAGATCGTAGGAAAATATTTTGAAATTGCCGGCCGGATCAGGGACGTTGAAACACTCGGGGCTCAAACGTGATATTTAACAAACCGGCGAGTGCATCCGCATCGACGAAGTGGCTCGCGGTTAATGAACAACGGTGAAATATGAAATGCGGTAGAGAGCCCAGTTTCATAACAAGACATTTCACAAGAATCGATACAGCGACTCATTACCTCGCGACTCATTGGAAATTCAACCGATCGGACAATAAGGGGTTAAACAGTTATTAAACTGTTCATTTCGCTACCCTTCGACGCGGGAGGACACGAACACAACCGGGAGGCGCGCACACCAGCCCACGGGGTTCGAGACCGCAGAACGAATACGAGGGTGGAAGAGTGTCCAGGGCTGCGGACAAGCCGGCCGTGGGCAGGGGGTCTGGGCCGTTCAATCGCACCCTTAATTAGCGCACTCAATTAAGCACGCGCACCGAGCCCGCACAACAGACTGCGCACCCAACGCGCCCAGTTTTTGCGTTCGGTCTGCGTTAGGGGATCGAATTACCAACAATCATTAGGAAGTCCTATGAATCGTTTGGTACCCGTCATGACAGTTCTGGAAACGTCATCCTTCGATCATTTATAGAGCACTTTGGCACTGTACTAAATTCTATATAGTTAAACTCTGTCTGCCTTGAGGCTGAGTTAGACTGTGTCCATCTTAAGTCGGGTTTGGGCTGTGTTAATCCTGAGTCTGTATTAAACTGCTTCTGTTTTTAAGTCTGGGTTAGATTCTGTCTACTTAAGGCTGCGTTAAATCGTGTCTATTTTAAGTCTGGGTTAGAGTGTATCTACAATAAGACTGAGTTAGATTGTGTCCATCTTAAGTCAGGTTGGGACGTGCGTATCCTGAGTCTGTGTTAAACTGTGACTTTCTTAAGCTTGCATTAGATTGTGTCTACCTTAAGGCTCTGTTAAATTGTGTCTATTTTAAGTCTGGGTTACACTACGTCCACCTTAAGGCTGTATTAAATTGTATCAATTTTAAGTCGGGTTTATGAAATCAGTATTTTTAGCCTGGTTTAGGCGCATGCCATATTATTTCTGGTTTAGACAGAGACTATGCTAAGTCCATTTTAGATACACGATACATTAAGTCTATTTTACACATCATCTAAACGAAGTCTAGACGCAGACAGAAATCAGGTTAGATCTGACGATTTTAATCGAGCAGGAAAAAGTCCAGAAACAGTTTGAATCCAGCGGATGAACAGCCTGTAAAGTGAATCACACCATTTGTCGGTGCGTGGCGGGGATCTTTCCGAATTTACCAGGATTCACCATTATCAGAAATGCGAATTCGAGAGGGCTTTTATACGATATAGCAGAAGATAGTAACGCGGCGATGCAACGAGGCAATACACGGGCTTCCCGAATCCAGCACGTGGTGCACTAAAATCGTACGAGGGATCCATTTTCCATTTGCCACTCCCAGGACACCGCGATTTTACCATTTTCCAAGATCGTACCCGTAATGTCTGCTGAACGATACCGTATCGAGTTTCGCCGGTAGTCCTCTTATTATCGTTTAACAGAAATACGATGTAACGCGAGAAAGCGCTTTTCTATCGGAGGTCCCGCATTTTGTTTGCCCGGCCGCTTTTTGTCCCGTCTATTCGCCCGCCATTTTGGCCGACGACACCATTTTGTCCCGGACGGAAAAGTTTCCAGTTCATAAAATCCGGTGTTTTCCCTTTTTTTTTTTTCTTTTTCCCGGAGTGATCCTTCTTTCGCGCGATCGAGGCGCCACCTCGCCGCGGTTAATTGGACTTGGTAAAAATAATAATTAACGACAAGTTCTCGCGCGCGCGAGCGTGCGGCCATTAACGCGTTGTTTCGAGCGGAAGATTAAACTTCTTCCGAAGGTCCTCCGAGCGTGCTATAAAATTCTCCGCGCGGTTTGTTTTGTTTCGAAGTGGCACTCGCGGAGGCGAAGTAGGCGAAAACGCGCGGGGGCAAGCAAACGTGCGCGTGCATATTTTATTTGAAAACTGGAAATAGAAAAATCACCATCAGTACACCGGCCGGGAAATTGGAAAACATCGACCCGTAGGAAAATTGGAAACCAGACATCTGACAAATGGGGAGAGGGAGCATCGGGAGCGCGGAAAACGTTAAAAATTAAAAATTTGAAAAACGAATAACTTCCGCGGCGTTTCGCCGGAACGCTCCCCATATTTGGCCTTGCGGCCATGGAATACAATTTTTAGGTTTACCTTTTGAATAACAAAACTGCTTGAATTATTTTACATACAAAAAGCAACGGCCGCCGGTAGAATCTTTTTAATTAAACGAGCAGGCTCGATCACCGGGTCCGTAAATCTACAAATCCACGTAGACCGTGTGTCCGCAACAGGCCTTTAATTCGTGGGCGTCGGCAACACCATGAAAAAAAAACTTCCAAATTAACCCTGCGAGAGCCTGTCAGCCCGCAGCAGGACGTGTCAAAGACGGAGGTCTCATTATTCGAAAAGGGACGCGTCATTAGAGCCTCCCCAGTGTGAAACGTTAGTACCGCTGGAACCGGAACACCCGGTATGTACCCTGTTCTCTTCCACGTACATAAAAGCATCGACTTTCGATCCACGGAGTTTGGAAGGGTCCTTTTTTTCATCCCTTCTCGGGTTGATCGAACGTTTCTTTGCCGAGCTGCGACGTTCGCCAGAAACTGTACACGAAAATATTCGTCCGGCGTTCATTTTTCATTCGTATGGTCGGCGTCGTCCAAACAATGGTTTTGCATTTTTCAGCGGAAGCAGCTCAATTTTTAAATAGACTGGCCTGCACCCGTCAGGGTCATAAATACGCGGGGCTCTTTTACCGAGTCCTGAATGACAGGATTCTAAATTGACAGCGTTCTGAATCGGTTAAATTGTAAATTCATAGGGTTCAAAATTGAAAGGGGTCTTGAAATAAAAGGAATCTAAAATAAAAAAAGGGACTACAATGGCAGAGTCCTAAAGTGACAGGGTTCTGAGATGACCGAGTCCTAAATTCATAGTGTTCTAAATTGACAGAGCCCTAAAATGGCAGGGTCCTAAATTGGCAAAAAGAAAGGGGACCTAACACAAACAACGACAGAGTCCCAAAATAGCAGAGTCCAAGATTTGGCAGGTACCTAAATTCAATGGACTCTACTTTAGATGTAACAATGGATGCTGATGAACAACTAAATAGCTCCTAAACAATTGCCAGGTCCATACCCAATAATGTCCACAAAAGCAACCATTCCAGTGTCCTAACCAAAGAACACCGTGTCTGACCATGTCCAACACGTCGAAACCTTCTCCAACTCAAAATGGAACGACAGAATTTTGTTCGGGCTTTTGACAGGGTCTAGGCGCTGGCAGGATTAAACGTGGCCCCGACGGAGCACTTTGACGAGGAAGAAAAAATGCCAAAGTGTCCCCCGTTAGCGAAAGTCAATCATTCTTAGGCGGGGCTTGACAGTTTGCGGTCGGACAAGCTTTTGTTGTGCCCCCGTCAAACATCGCGCCGAGAAAACGGGAAGTGTGACACAGAATTTGATCATTTTTTCTGGACGGCCGCCGAGGGTAGAGGATTCCGCAGCTTTCGCCGGGGTTCGTCGCGCTGCGAATTTGAATGGATTGCGTCCCAATGTTTACCATCCCCCTCTGTGTGCACTCTGTATATCGTGCGCCCTCGAATCGCATAAAAGCACCGGCTGGGTTTCCATTAGTTTAATTACAGACAAGGTCGTCGCCGTTGGTAGAACATCGTTGCAGGTGTAGGTTAGTTTGAAGCACGAGCCCTCGGCAAGCAGTTAATTCCGTAGAAAAGGTGGATCAGACCTTGCGAGACATCCGGCGAACGACACGAAAATTCGTTCCGTGGCCGAGCTAATACAAATCGGATATTCGACTTTCTCCATTGTACAACGTCGAACGGCATCGATCCTTGCCGCTATCGACCAACGACTATGACCCGAAGACATCGTTCAATTCACTTTATCGGGTTAACAGGTGAGGGGACAGGCGTTCTTACCTCTCTAAAAATGTATAATACTTTTATCAATTTTTTTATACACTCGAAAGAAACCCCTTCGAAATCTTAAAAATCCTCGTTGTATATTTGTTATCGAGATCTCATTGTTACCTTTGAAAATGCTAAGTATTTTCGAAAGAGCAAACTTGTTCGAACTTCGCTAGTTTTCTTTCGTCAGGCGTATAAAATGAAGCTCGAACCGTGACCGGCGCAAAATGTGTTACAATAGTTAGACTGAATAGATTTCGGTATCCTTCAACCAAAGTCTACATTGTTCGACTGACCAGAAGTCCTTTGTGTCCAACAGCTCCCCGCGAGTCGAACGAAGGCACCGAGATCTTGTAGAATGCATGATAAATTCCAGACAAACGCGCTCTCGGTTTCGAGAAAGTGCGTCCCAGCAGCAGGTATCTACCATCGGCTCTTTGTCAAGGCTATTCTCCTAGTCTGGCGCCCTAGTGTACGTATAAAACAACCGCTTCACTGAGGACTTCGCGTAATGTCATGAGATACATTCTCCTAGCCCGAGTGGTTCTTCTCATTGTGCGCTGAAGTCGAAAACGGAAACATTACAGGGCACATTCTTTGTAGTCGCATTCCTCAACCTGGTAGAATATTAGACGAGTGTAGAATCTTCTCTATAAGCCTCGCGTGTGTAACTACAAAAAGGAAATACTGCAATCACAGTCCTTGCTAAGATGAAAGTAATCCCACTGCTTCTGTTCAATACGTTAGGGTATCAGCTTATGAGTTTGGGGTATCAGACTAGGTAATTGGAATATCCAAACAAATTCACAGTATGCCTTAGAAGAGTACGATATCAACCTGAATGATCAGGGCATCAGTTTAGTAATTTAGGGTATCAAGCTAAATATTTATGTAATAGTTTAAACTCTCTCAGGATAATAGTCTGGACCCTTAGGCTACCAGGAAAAACATTTAGGGTATCCTAGAAGTTTAGGGTATGAACTTAGACTCTTGGAGAATAATCCAATAGGTTTAGAGCATCAGTCCTGAAGTTTAGGGTATGGACTTACACGTTTAAGGCACCAGACTAAAGACTAAGGGCATTCTAGCAGTTTCATATATGAATTTAGACTCTTAGAGCATAATCCAACAGGTTTAGAGCACCAATCCTGAATTTTAGGATATGGACTTACACGTACAAGACACCAGACTAAAAACTAAGGGCATCCTAGCAGTTTAGGGTATGAACTGAGACTCTTGGAACATAATCCAATAGGTTTAGAGTATCAGTCCTGAAGTTTAGGGCATGGACTTACACTTTCAAGGCACCAGACTAAAAACTAAGAGCATCCTAGCAATTTAGGGTATAAACATAAACTCTTGAAGTATCATCCAACAGGTTTAGGGTATCAGCCTTGAAGCTTAAGGTATCAGTAACAAAATCTCGGGTCCCAGACTAACTATCTAGAGCCCTAGCTTCCTCCAGCGAGAGAATGTGAAGTCCATGTCGAGAAAGAAGCAAAGATCTCGGCACCTGGTCGGGGTAGAAGCATGGGACCAACACCGGCGGCATGGAGCGGCATTCCCCGTGGTCGGTAAATCGGTCTCCTGGTCAGTGATGTAATTAAAAGAGCGGCGCGCATTTAAAACGCGCGCAGCGGCATTGTGAGACTACGGCCGACAAAGTGGAATGGAAGAGGCGAGCCATGGAAGGCCATGGCGGCGCTGTTAATGGGCGATCGCGGTGGCTGGCAGACTCTAGACTCTAGGCGACCGCCTGAAATCCACCGCCTCGGCCAGCCTCGGCAGCCGAGCGGCCGAACAAAGCGGAAAGCTTCGGCGTACAAACAGCGTCGGCCCCGTGTTGCTGCAAGTGCCGCGAAACTTTAACAATGGTTATTGTTTCGGGCCGGCTCTGTAACTGGCCTAATAAAATAGCGGAAGCCCGTGCTGGGAATGGGTGAAAAAAGCCGGCCGCGGAAAAATCGGCTGCCGCCTCGCTGCCGGATATAACGATAACGGGAAGTTCGAGGCGAGAGAGATACCCGGAGAGAGAGAGAGAGAGAGAGAGAGAGAGAGAGGAGGGGGAGGGGAGAGAGTAGCAGCACGCTCGAAACTGTGCCTACGGCTCGTTATCGTTCCGAATGCACTTTCTGATGTTTTATACGCGGCCGGTCTTCCTCGAACGGCGCCAGCCATGGGGAATCAGCCTAATGGCTGAAACGATGGCGGCCGTGGCTCAGAGAAACTGCCCAAGTATTTAATCGGCCGATCGTACAGCCTATAGAGAACGAGAACGATCATTTTATCGCGGCTCGTTAGATCCGTCGTGCGGCGGGCTGTTCCCGCGGCATCGCTCGATACCGAACGGTTTTCACCCGCTCGCGATCTCCAGAGAAATTCTAAACTATCAAAAAGAGGATCCGGGAATCATATTTCTACTTGGCCGTGTCCAACGGGACCCGAGATGAAAAATGCATCGGATAGAGCACCGACGAACCGTTCTCCCGCGGAAGGAGATATCAAGCTCCCGGCCCACTCGTCGGGCAACAGTGGCCCGCAGTGTGCTTCGGAAATTTTTCATACTCGGCATTGTATCTTTATTCCACGGGAAACTGCTTAATCGAATTTTCCACTGTTTAAATCCTCGGGAACGATGAAAAGCACCGATGTAAAAGTAATTTAATTCTACAGAGAGAGAGAGGGAGAAAGGGGAGGAAGAGAGCGTAGGTTTTTCGGGGAATAATTTTTGCGATGCTTTTAAGAGCGTGAACATGATATTCAGGAATATTATTTTTCCAATCAGTAATTCGATGTGATAGCCCCGCGCCGATGCGACGGACGCGAGGTATGAAACGCAACACGTTTTTGCCGTTTCGAAGGGAGCACGCTGCGAACGAACCGCCAGAGATATTGATAGTATTTTGTTTCAGATCGTTGGTTATTCGTGCTCGTTACTTGATGTAAGGTTAATGTCCCAGCGACTGGACGCGTCCGGTGATTAGACATCAATTTACATTGTCGTTAATATCGTGCTTTGTATCGACGATTACATTATCGATAGAATTGAATAATGTTCTCCGTACGTTTCCTTTTACAAGAGAACGAACGGTGTTTTAAACGAACGTAGAATGTATCAGGGTAAGCCAGAGATAGTCCGCGTACAATAATGTCTCCCTTACTGACGCTCAGATTGTCCACTAAAATGGATAATTTGGGAAGAGGAGATACGATTATTCGAGCCTTGCGGCTCGTTTTTATAAGATGTGTATAAGAGACAGGTTTCGAGCGTGCTGCTACTCTCTCCCCTCCCCCTGTCTCTTATACACATCTAGATGTGTATAAGAGACAGGTTTCGAGCGTGCTGCTACTCTCTCCCCTCCCCCTGTCTCTTATACACATCTAGATGTGTATAAGAGACAGGTTTCGAGCGTGCTGCTACTCTCTCCCCTCCCCCTGTCTCTTATACACATCTAGATGTGTATAAGAGACAGGTTTCGAGCGTGCTGCTACTCTCTCCCCTCCCCCTGTCTCTTATACACATCTAGATGTGTATAAGAGACAGGTTTCGAGCGTGCTGCTACTCTCTCCCCTCCCCCTGTCTCTTATACACATCTAGATGTGTATAAGAGACAGGTTTCGAGCGTGCTGCTACTCTCTCCCCTCCCCCTGTCTCTTATACACATCTAGATGTGTATAAGAGACAGGTTTCGAGCGTGCTGCTACTCTCTCCCCTCCCCCTGTCTCTTATACACATCTAGATGTGTATAAGAGACAGGTTTCGAGCGTGCTGCTACTCTCTCCCCTCCCCCTGTCTCTTATACACATCTAGATGTGTATAAGAGACAGGTTTCGAGCGTGCTGCTACTCTCTCCCCTCCCCCTGTCTCTTATACACATCTAGATGTGTATAAGAGACAGGTTTCGAGCGTGCTGCTACTCTCTCCCCTCCCCCTGTCTCTTATACACATCTAGATGTGTATAAGAGACAGGTTTCGAGCGTGCTGCTACTCTCTCCCCTCCCCCTGTCTCTTATACACATCTAGATGTGTATAAGAGACAGGTTTCGAGCGTGCTGCTACTCTCTCCCCTCCCCCTGTCTCTTATACACATCTAGATGTGTATAAGAGACAGGTTTCGAGCGTGCTGCTACTCTCTCCCCTCCCCCTGTCTCTTATACACATCTAGATGTGTATAAGAGACAGGTTTCGAGCGTGCTGCTACTCTCTCCCCTCCCCCTGTCTCTTATACACATCTAGATGTGTATAAGAGACAGGTTTCGAGCGTGCTGCTACTCTCTCCCCTCCCCCTGTCTCTTATACACATCTTATAAAAACGAGCCGCAAGGCTCGAATAATCGTATCTCCTCTCCCCAAATTGTCCATTTCTGTGGTCAATCCGGGAGTCAATTAGAGAGACATTACAGTACAGACTCCGTTACTCAAACGTCTTTTTTTAAATATTATTTGTACAACATATTTTTACTTACTTTTATTTTGAAACTTTTATATATAAAAGTTACAGAATATTCTGGCATCAGGATATTAAAAAAGAATTTAAAAATGTCACTATGTTATTTACGATCTACTGAAATTACTTAAAACAGAAAAAAGAACTTTGTTGCAATCGATGTACAAAATTCTTACTTTGCATAAAAATCCGTTGTCTAATCCTCGCTAACTAATCTTGGACTTAAACTTGGACTTAACTTCGATGTCCTTGAACCAAACGCGTATTAGGCTCGACCCATTCATGTGAACATTGACCCGAGTCAAGCCGCAAATTCTAACCCAGACTAGGACGATTCGCGGCACAGTAAATATTCGAACCACTTCGCTGTCAAATTTCAAGACCCGGCGCATCATCGATCACTTGGAATGCGTTCACGGTTAAACACTATCGCCCCTCCATGTGAAATGGGTGGCTTTGTGGTAGTATAAACAGTTGCAGGCCGGCCTGTATGCAGAACCGAGGCATTCGGCGGGAAAATCGATCGCCGGTATAGATCCTCGTCGAAAAAGAGGGAAACGGGAGAAAAGCAGGCTTCGTCAGCCGCGTAATAAGAGAGCCATTCAAACTTTATAAACTGAATATTATTGAGATACTAGGCGGCCGGGCGGGCGGTGGAGCACCGCCGTGACAGTGAGCGATGAGGTGGGCGTGAGTTCCCCGATTTTCTATTAAACGCCGATTTATTTATGGAATATTCAATGCGACGTGTCCCGGGGAAGAGCCGGAGGTATTGAGCCACCAAGAAAAATTCAAATCAGCCTTGTCGCGACGGTATCCCGCCGCCGGTTCTCCACCGGCGGGGATTTACCGCGGGAAACGTGTAATCCGCGGCCGAGGCAACCCTTGACTTCGAGACATTCTGCCTCCTGTCCTCGGCCACCGTGAAACCTCTCGAAAAATAAACGATAACGTCGCCGAGAAATTTTTCG